ACTTTAAAAGTTTTTTTCGTATAGCATTCTGGCAATTTAGAGTGCCCTACTTTATAGAAACGATCCGACAACGCGAGAAGACTGCAGAAATCTGCAGAAGACTGCAGAAGTCTGCAGAAGACTGCAGAAATCGAAGACGAAATCGGCAAGCATGGCAATGGCGGCCACGATCGAGAAGACCTAAAAGATATTTACGGATATTCAGTCTGTAATTACCGTCTTTTCCCTAATAGTAGTGCACCTGGTCGAGCCGAGTTGATGTCTATTTTACCGTTTCCAAGTCTTCCCAGAAGCTCAACACTCAAATCCCCCACAAGATCTCATCGTCAGCTACATTTTCCGACCCCACATCGATAGGTTCTGATAAGCGGTTCTCGAGATTTCGAGCAATTTAGGGGAACGCTCAGGGTGCACTACTATGAGAGAGAACCAGTACTAAGGAAAGGCATGAACTTATCGTGGTCTTACGATATTATAGTCCCAAGTCCAATACGATACTATAGTTCCAAGTCTCTTCCAATCTCATTACAGTATACCAAGATAAAAGACAAAAACATTTAAAATTTCAAAAGAATTCAACAGGAATTCAAAAGAATTCAATTTAATGCTAGTTTTAAGTTTTTGATTGAGTTTTGATTGTTTTTGATTGGTTTTGATTGGTTTTGATTGAGTTTTGGTTGTTTTTGATTGAGTTTTGATTGGTTTGATTGGTTTGATTGAGTTTGATGGTTTTGATGGTTGATGAGTTTGATGTTTTGATTGTTTTGATTGGTTTTGATTGGTTTGATTGTTTTGATTGAGTTTTGGTTGTTTTTGATTGAGTTTTAATTGGTTTTGATTGGTTTTGATTGGTTTTGATTGAGTTTTGATTGGTTTTGATTGAGTTTTGATTGGTTTTGATTGGTTTTTGATTGAGTTTTTGGTTGGTTTTGATTGTTTTCTGATTGGTTTTTATTGTTTTTGATTGTTTTTTATTGGTTTTGATTGTTTTTGATTGGTTTTGATTGGTTTTGATTGAGTTTTGGTTGTTTTTGGAGATGTTTGTTGGTTGATTGGTTGATGGTTGATTGATTTAGTTTTATTGTTTGAGAGTTTGGTTGTTTGATGTTGATGGTTTTGATTGTTTTGATTGTTTTTATTGGTTTTGATTGGTTTTGATTGGTTTTGATTGAGTTTTTATTGGTTTTGATTGGTTTTGATTGAGTTTTGGTTGTTTTTGATTGAGTTTTATTTGTTTTGATTGGTTTTGATTGGTTTTGATTGAGTTTTTATTGGTTTTGATTGGTTTTGATTGATTTTTATTGTTTTTTATTGTTTTTGATTGAGTTTTGATTGTTTTTGATTGGTTTTGATTGGTTTTTATTGGTTTTGATAGGTTTTGATTGTTTTTTATTGATTTTGATTGGTTTTGATTGATTTTGATTGAGTTTTTGATTGTTTTTAATTGATTTTTCCATTGTTTTCCATTGTTTTTGATTGAGTGTTGATTGTTTTTTTTTTATTGTAAATTTGATTTGATGGATCGGCTGAAATCTTGGATGTAAATCTCAAACTCCTCCCACAACTCCTCCCAGCACTCAATTGGGGAGAAAATCATGGGTTTCATGCGAAAAAATGCTGAATTTCCGGTCGATTGATTGAGAGGGGAAAAAAAAGAGAGAAAAAAGGCGAAAAGGGACCGATTCGAATTGGGATTGGAAAAAAAGGAAAATGGGAAACGGGAAAGACACGACTCGTCGATCGACAGACATTGAGAGAGGAGGGTCAAATTTTTCTTTTTTTTACCCTTTTTCGTCCATGTGAAGGCCGGCAACCCGGGTTCTCGATCAGACTGTGAGGTGACGAGGGGGAAAATGAGATCTTTCATCCTCACCGAACCTACAACTTACTCCCTGGTTATGTTTTTTCTTTTTCTTTTCTTTACTTTACTTTACTGATTTTTCCACATTCATCCCGAAAAATAAGGTGTTAAGCGATGATTTTTTAAAATTTTGTTCCCACTTTACCTGTGCATTACAGCTGATTAAAGCTGTAAAGCTGTAAAGCAGCAGCAGCATGATCAACGAACCCTCGGAAATTACATTTCAGAAGCGATTTTTGCTTTTCAATTTACACTTTGACTTTTCTAGTGCAGTTTTAGCTAGGGTTTCCAAATCACTAAACACAAAAGTCCAATACGATACTACAAAAAGTGTTTGCAAGCCGGGTCGAACCAGGTAAAGAACTAAAGGCAAGCACAGTAACCAGTAGGCCACGAGCTGGTTTGCAGAGCCAGTTGCAGAGCCAGTTGCAGAGCCAGTTGCAGAGCCAGTTGCAGAGCCAGTTGCAGAGCCAGTTGCAGAGCAAGAGCAACTTCACTATCCATCATCGAAAAAAGCTTGCACCAGAAAAACCATGTCTAGGCTCAAAAGTCAGGAAGAAATCGAAAAACATCTCTTAATGCGTTTGCACGGAGGCTGATAGGCTGATAGCTGATGGCTGATCTGCCTCGATAGCTTAGTGGGTAGTGTGCTAGTCCCTAGTTCGGTTCCCCAACGTTCTACCTGGTTTGGATCCACTGTCGTCGCCGAGTTCTTTTTTAGAAAAACACTCAAAAATTACTTTTTTGATCAATAATCTCTTGCGTAATGTTAGCTTTTTGTAAAAAAAGCCTCAGCTTTTGAATCATCGACTCAACAGCCTCTTATTGGGTATCTCGAACAGCACTATTATCGATCTCGCTTCTCAAATTCTAGGCAGAATATTTAGAAGTATTGTCGGGCGGAATATTTAGAAGTATTTTATTGGATATTCTTCATTACCCCCTAAAATTGTTAAAAACGATCACATTAATGGATTAGTTCGGTACAGCTGCGAGGAATAGTTCTCACGGAAACATGTACGATTGAGCATATTGGGTAGAGATGAGTGAGAGGTGCTGAAGTGCAGAAAGAGCATCAGCCTCTCCGCCTTCTTTGCTCCTTGTACCTTAAAGTATGTGGGGCACGTAAATGCAATGTAAAAGAGATTACTGATCAAAAAAAGAGTGTTATTCAAGTGTTTTTCTAAAAGAAAACAAAGAATCTGGGCGACGGGGATCCGACCCAGCGACAAAAGCGGGGGGATCCGAACAAGTGACAAAAGCGGGGATCCGAACAAGTGACAAAAGCGGGGGGATCCGAGCCAGCGACAAAAGCGGGGGGATTCGAACAAGCGACAAAAGGGGGACCAACAAGCGACAAAAGCGGGAGGATCCGAACCAGCGACAAAAGCGGGAGGATCAGAACCAGCGACAAAAGCGGGGGGATCCAAACAAGCGACAAAAGCGGGAGGATCCGAACAAGCGACAAAAGCGGGGGGATACAAACAAGCGACAAAAGCGGGAGGATCCGAACCAGCGACAAAAGCGGGAGGATCAGAACCAGCGACAAAAGCGGGGGGAACCAAACAAGCGACAAAAGCGGGAGGATCCGAACAAGCGACAAAAGCGGGGGGAACCAAACAAGCGACAAAAGCGGGGGATCCGAACCAGCGACAAAAGCGGGGGATCAGAACCAGCGACAAAAGCGGGGGGATCCGAACAAGTGACAAAAGCGGGGGGATCCGAACCAGCGACAAAAGCGGGAGGATCAGAACCAGCGACAAAAGCGGGGGGATCCGAACAAGTGACAAAAGCGGGGGGATCCGAACCAGCGACAAAAGCGGGAGGATCAGAACCAGCGACAAAAGCGGGGGGATCCGAACAAGCGACAAAAGCGCGGGGATCCGAACAAGCCAAAAGCGGGGGGATCCGAAACAGCGAGAAAAGCGCGAGGATCCGACCCAGAGGCAAGCACACCATCCACTAGGCTACCGACACAGACCGACTTGCCTCCGCGAACGCCTTAAATCGGCTAGCCTGTTGTCGGCTAGCCTGTTGTCGGCCGAATTGGTCGAAACTTGGCCGAAACTTTGAAGGCTCATCTCTCAAAAATGGCTTATTAAAAAATGGCATAAGTAAAATTTGAAAGCAGTTGAAAGCCCTGAATCAGGGAGTGTTTGCACCTTGGAACCAGATCGCTCCTGAAATCTGAATTCTTGAAATCGAACTTCAAAAAGTTCCCTGATGAGTCTTAAACTTAAACTGATGCCAGAGATCTTGCAATTCAAAGCTTCAGAAAAACTAAAAACGGAGCCAGTATCGATTTTTTAGAGAGACACATCTTCCAAATTGAAAAACCACCTTAACTTGGTGCCCTTATAATGTTTAAACTGTAAATCTGCTTTAAAAAATCAAACAATTTTTCAAAATCAATCATTTCTAACAGTTTTCTAAAAGGTTTCTAAAAGATTCCACGCTTAGGGAATTTTTTTTTATGTTTAGATCTGCACATTGACTATTTCCCTATTACTAAAGTAAAAACAAATATGACTGCGATAGGCAAACAGGCAAACAAGGCAAACAGGCAAACAATTTACGCTTTTGCAATCGCCAATCCAATCAATGCAAAGTGGCAAGTCCAAATGTTTGTACAATGTTTGTTCTAAAGGCAATTTTTCTGGGCCAGGTCAGGCCCTACACGACCAAGTCTTGGACTGACTTCTAGTTTTGTCGAGTCTGTTCTGGCTTTGCTATAAGCATGATCTAATCTCTGGATTCCAGATCTGACATGATCCAGGGAATGTTCCCAAGTCCACTAAAGTCAAACTTGGATCTGTCTTCTAACTGATCCTCAGCCTGGCTTGACCTGGCTTACAGGCCCCATCCCTGGGCCTGTAAGCCTGCAAATTCATACCAACTTTTTTCTAGGTTTTAGTTTTCGTAAGCAAATCTAAAGAACTCAAAAAACCTTTTCCCCACCGCTTTCTAGCGATTCTTTCCCGTGTTCCACGATTGAATGGCGAGGCAAACAACACTTTTGCAAAACCGTTGCAAAATCCACAAAAACTTAAATTTTATCTCTCTTTTGGTTTCAATTTCTGTTTTTCTTCCTGTTTTGCTCGCTTTTTCACAAATTTTTCACAAATTCCTTTTCAGCACAATGAAATTGAAAATCTGGAGAGTCGAAGATCCGTACGTGATTTTCAATTATTTCTCCGATGAGTACAAAGTATTTTGTGGAAGAATTCATACAAAGGTAATGTTATTTTTTGCGAACTAGCAAGGCTAACGGACCCGCCCTTGGCAATCTAACTTTGAGCTCAAATTTCTTGGTGTTGAGCTACCCGATTTAAATATTCTTGATATCATTAGACTCGCCAAGTCTTTCTCTATCGTTTGGTACAAAAACTATTTAAATTGGACAACCCAACGTCAAGATATTTGAGCTCAAAGTTAGATTGTCAATGGCAACGGGGGCGGAGCGCGTATAAAAAGCCCATCGCTTCGCCCCTTTTGCCATTGGCGATCTAACTTTGAGCTCAAATATCTTGGTGTTGGACTGTCCAATTTAAATGTTTTTGGTATCATTAGACTCGCCAAGTCTTTCTCTATCGATTGGTACAAAAACTATTTAAATTGAACAGCCCAACGTCAAGCTATTTGAGCTCAAAGTTAGATTGCCAATGACAAAAGGGGCGGGGCGCGTATCAAATGCCCCACAATCTTCGATCAGTGCAATTTTGTTGTCATTTGACGAGAAATCACAAGGATCAAGCAAAAATTACCAAAATTGAGCTGATCGAATGAAAACTGGGAGTTGAATGGATTGATACACTTTGTCATCCGTAATCCAACTTTGAGCTCCAATATCTTGACGTTGGGTTGTCCAATTGAAATAGTTTTTGTACCAATCGATAGAGAAAGACTTGACGAGTCTAATGATATCAAGAATGTTTAAATTGGACAACCCAACACCAAGAAATTTGAGCTCAAAGTTAGGTTGCCAATGGCAAAGAGCGAGGCGCTTATCAAATTCCCCAATTATCTAGCAATTTACAAAAGTAATCAGTAGAATCTAAACAAAACAAAAACTGTTCAGAGAGCTTCGTGTATTGTCCTCGTTTTGTCATTTCTTCTCTCACTTCTCTATGCGGCTGAATATTTAGCTGGGGTTTATCTCGATGATAATGCTGTAAGTGTAAGCTTCTTTAAAGTTCATTTTTCCGATCCACTGAAGGCAAAAATCGTTTCAGATCTCTTCTTTCCAGAGAAATATTTAAAATTTCGCTTTTCAGATTGTTCTTTTCGCTGTGCAACTCATTTGTGTCATCATTTTAGCCTACTCTTTACACTCGGAAAATCAAGTTGCCATGTGCGCTTTTTTAATCTTACAGGTAGCGCAAACTGGAGCATTCATTTCCCATTTCGCATTAAAAATCAAAAAAAAACTCCACTATTTCACAAGGCTCTTCAGGGTGCTTTGATACTCTCGCGATATCTCGGAGTGGCCCGTGCTTTTATCACGATTTTCGAGCCCAAATCGGAATGGTCTTATCAGAAAGTCTACAAGTGAGTAAAAAAAGGATTAGGCTACCTACTACTAGGCTACTTACTACCAGGCTACTTACTACCAGGCTACTTACTACCAGGCTACTTACTACTAGGCTACTTACTACCAGGCTACTTACTATTAGGCTACTTACTACTATGCTACTTACTACCAGGCTACTTACTATTAGGCTACTTACTATTAGGCTACTTACTACTAGGCTACTTACTACTAGGCTACTTACTACTAGGCTACTTACTACTAGGCTACTTACTACCAGGCTACTTACTATAGGCTACTTACTACTAGGCTACTTACTACCAGGCTACTTACTATTAGGCTACTTACTACTATGCTACTTACTACCAGGCTACTTACTATTAGGCTACTTACTAGGCTACTTACACCAGGCTACTTACATTAGGCTACTTACATATGCTACTTACACCAGGCTACTTACTATTAGGCTATTACTACCAGGCTACTTACTACCAGGCTACTTACTACCAGGCTACTTACTATTAGGCTACTTACTACTAGGCTACTTACTATTTGGCTCTATTAGGCTCTATTGTGCGAAAATCTAATGTACTTAATCATTCTTATCCAAAATTTTCAGAAAACACGGAATAGACAGGAAAGAAAAGCCCAGCCATGCGATTTTCCACATTGTCTACTTGAGTTTCATCGCGATTTCCTATTCGATCTTTTTCTATATTGTGTATCGGTTGGTTTTTTTTACTTTGTTTGTACTTACTTTGTCTAAAAGAAGTTCACACGGTCGATGTGTTAACAAAGAAAACTCGCTAGCAAAACTCGCTTTACAGTAAACTTGTACTTTTGTTTCGTAAAAATACTGTAGTTCATGTTCTTACGAGGGAGCTATTCACCATCTTAAATCGACTTCAAAATTACAGGCGGTAAAAAACATCACAAAATAAGAATTTTCCGAAGTTTTTTGTTGCTAAATGCCAGAAATGACTGAAATGCAAGATTTCAAAGTTTTTCGCTTAGAACTAAGGGGATTTGGCACTCTTTAAAGGGACTCTCACAAGCAGTCGACCAGTAGCCGAGTAGCCGAGTGGTTAGGGGCCCGAGCTCTTAGTACGAGCCTCGCTAGTTCGGTGTCGTCCCGGGCACTCGACCAGTACCGCTCAAGGAAGGCTTTTCGGCTGGGCTTTTTGCTCAAGGAAGAAACCGGGGACTGAACTGAACTAGCGACCCTTGGACTATGAGCTCAGGCCCCAAACCACTCGGCCACTCGGTTACTGAGCCCGTATGCTACTGAGCCCGCTCAGGGAAAAGTTCTGGTTCTGGCGTCTCTGATCTTTACGGTGGCAACTTTGATCTTTACGGTAAAACGTCCATAGTTCCCTCGCGGAGCGGACTTTTCCTCGAAAAATTCCTCTGGAAATTCCGGCGGAAAGTTTTACCGGAAACTTTCTGGAAGAAAATTACATTCCGCGGGAAAACTATGGACGTTTTACCTGAAAGATCAAAGGTGCGGCCGTAAAGATCAGAGACGCCACCAGAACTTTTCCCGCAGCGTAGCATACAGGCTCTGGTCGACTGCTTGTAAGAGTGCCCTTTAAAGAGTGCCAAATCCCCAAAAACGTTTAATTTTAAGCGAAAAACTTTCAAACGGTGAGCCAAGAAAGCGGATTTTGAAAAGTGGCACTAAAATCAATTCAGCCGCAATAGCTGAATACTGTTAGTTTCATTTTGAAAGGTGTCTTTTTCATAAATTTCTTAAACTTATGTGTTTCAGATGTCGTCGTTACCTATTGAAACTTGAAGACGCGAAACTCCGACAGCAACACTGTATTGTTTACGATTCATGAAAAAACTATTCCGGGCTTTAAATTTATTGATGATTTTTATGATTTTGGTCTCAATTTCAATAAATGTTTTGCGAGTGTGAGCAGATGGAAAACAAAATAATTGTAATTTCTGAGCTCTCATCAAAAAATTTCCTTGACCAATGGCAGATAGTAAGAAAATCATCATCACACACTCAAAACTTCGCTAAATCTCAGATTTTATTTGATTTTTCTTTTGATAATGGATGAATATCAGAGAAAAATTGCTTTGCTCAAGCCTTTTTGTGGAAATCTAAAGAACCGAGCAGAAAACTATAGACAAGATGGTGATATTGATGCGGCAAACAAATTAGAGGTTTGTAAAGCTGTCAAATTGCTTGTGTGCTTGTCAAATTGTTGGATAAGAATAATACGCTAATCATTTTTCCTTTATACTTTATATTCAAATCATTCTTTTAGTTGAATTTACAATTTTGTTTACAGTTAATGATTGGAGTGTTGGAAGGAAGAATCGAGGTACCACTCGATCATCTAATTAATCTCGAGAAATGGATTAATCGAAGAGCTGTCGATCTTCTACAAGCATCAAGTGAGTTCAAGTTTCTTTTCAAAGCAAACTCTAATCTAAAGCAATACTGATTCACCTTAAGGGTACCGTAAAAACTCTGATAGACCGGCCCTAAACTTTAATAGAACGGGAGCGTCGAGTAGTCTAAACTTACTCCTCAAACAAACGCTCATATCTCAACATCAGTGCGTGTGTTTCTGCAAGCTTAGGTATCAAATTAGAGTAGAGAAAATGGATGATTTTTTGAGACATAACACATATTTTTAGCATTAACCAGCGCTTAGAAAAAAATTATTGAAAAGTGGCAAAAAAGAGCCGAGTTTCGTGGATTCTCAATCAAGTTTGGGAAAACTTCCATGTTAACACTTCAAAAAATCTTGAAAAACGTCTAATTTTACGGCTAAAATGGTTTAGAATTTTATGTAAAGCTGTTTGGATGCGATTATTTATTTAAAATAAGAAATCAACCCTACTAAAAATACTCCTGTTTAGTTTCCGATGTGAAACTTTGAGAAAACTGAAGAAACGATTTCATTTCTGTTCTGACACCGTAAATCTGATCGAACTACGTAACAAAATTCAAAAAAACATCCACTTAGACATCGACAACGAGTAAATAATGTCATATTGCATAAAATTTTCAATTCTCTCCCCGCACAAAACGAAAACATTTACACAAAATGTTAGAGAGACAGCTATTTATGCCAAAAAAAAACACTATTCTTATAGTGCAAGGTACTCAAGTTTTTTTCGATCAAGTTCGTTGAAAGTTGTGAAATTTTCTTGTAAATCGATCTTTCTGAGAGAAATGTTTGAGAAGAGACAAATGAGACCGTTAAAGAATGGGCAAACTATAAATAGACAGAGAAAAAAGACAAACCACTTGAGGGTTTTTCGATGGCTTGGATGAGTATTTAAACAGCTAAGTGTTTTTCGAGAAAAACGTTTGAGGAAGTTGTTTTAATGCTTGTCAACAATTTTCTTGCATATCTTTGTTGCTTATTTTTCATTGAGCGTGTTCCTTTTAAGTGATGCGTGTTCTAGAAGATGGATAATCTAGAAGCTGGATAATTTGAAAAACTAACGTAATCTTTCCTCTGAATTTTGCGTGCTCTACTTAACTTTGATCCGACTTAATTCGACTACCGTATTTCTTCGAATAGAAGACCGGGTAAAGAGTATCATCGCGTGTCTGATCTGTTAGCTCATGTGGTATTTTTGAGCCATTTTCCAGCTCTATAGCACTTGATTGAAAGCTTTTATGCAGAAAAGAAATTTTAAAAAGGGGCTGCTACGCAGGAGTACGCGATGATACTCTTTACCCGGTCTTCTATTCGAAGAAATACGGTAAATTCAACAAAATTCAACAAAATTCAACCAAATTCGACTCAATTCAATTCAATTCTTCTTGTTCAATCTTTAAATGAGCTTATAAACAAGTAAATAGGACGTAATTTGAAGGAAAGCTTACGCTAGTTTCGCAAATTATCAATCTTCTAGAAAACGCATTACTTGCAAAGAACACAGTCTAATTGTTAGGCTCTAAAATTGCTTCAGGGCTTTTTTAGAGAAAAATTTTTGCGCACCACACTAAAATGCACTAAACTAGCGTATTCCTATGCGAATTTATGCCCAATAAAACTGAAAACATTAAACCCAACCTCTTATTGTTGTTTCCCGTTGTTGTTCCAATAAATCTTCGCTTGGACATTCGCAAGTCCAAGTCCATCAGGCTGTAAAAATCCTTCTAACAAAGCGATCTGTTCAAAAAAATCTCCAAAATAAACTTAACTTTGGTTCAAAACGTCGAGTTGATGAAAAAACATAAAAATAATTGTAAAAAATTTTAAAAAAGCAAAGAAATTGGCCACTTGCCAAAAAAAGACAAATTGGCGGGTTACGGTAGTTTAGTGCATTTTAGTGTGGTGCGCAAAAATTTTCTCTGAAAAGGGCTTAAAATCTAAATTTCAGTTTTCTTTCTTTCTTTTAATGTGCCGTCTTTGGCGACTCGAACAGAAAGGAGTTGGATTTGATTGCGAGGCAAAGAAATACTATTCTTGTTGTGGATTCATGCACTACAAGGTAAATTGGGCATTCATACAAATCTCTTAATTATCCTTCTTTCGTCATTGGGGACTTTCTATGCGCTCTTCTAGTTCTAAGCTACCGTACCCAAGCTACAATGGCTATCGTAATCCTACTATACCGTAATCCTACTGGTTTCTTCTCCTACTGGTTAATTCAATCCTAATCCAATCCATTTCAGCGAGCCACTTTCTTCATTTTCCTCCTCAACATCTTATGGCTCATTTGCATGATTATTTCGATTGCTCTCGGATTTCGTCCAGAGACATTTATCGTAAATCTTCTGTAAATCTTCTTTAACAATTTCAATTCAGCTTGTTATGATTGCTCTTCAAGCACTTTGTTTAATATTTTTATGGATGGGATTGAGAGCTCATGATGGAGGAGGATTGCTAGTGTTTATGGGATTCCAGGTAAGTCCGGCGTTTGTAATTCTTGAATTTGCCACTATAAAAATGTTCTCTTTCAGTTATATTTCGCTTTTTATTGGTTCTTTCAAGCAATTCGTTTCTTTGTGATTGTCATTTCTCTTGATGAGTTCACGATTTTCGATCACAAATTTAATATTGGATATCGGGATTGGATTTGGTAAGTTGAAAGAGCTTCTAAAGGTTAAAATCGAAATTTCAGGGATAAATTGAATGATCTCGGGGAAAATGAAAAAAATGAAGGTTTGAGGGAGAAATTATTGAAATTTATCGACATTTAGTGAAAGTCTCAATTTTCGCAGCAATCTTCAGCGTTTTGAGCCAGGCATTTGCGACGATATACTGTATATCTGCGTATGTTGTTTATAGGTGAGTTGAATTTGCAATTGGTACTGTACTGTACCGTAATGCCTGTGATAGAACATCCGAACGTTACATTTTTTCATGCAAAACAAAACATTTCAGATGTCATCTGTATTTTGCCGATCTTCATGCGGCTAAAGAATATCAAAAGCGACGAGAAATCTTTAAAGATTTGCGCCAGGATACTATTGGAACACAAGATTGGATCAGAATAATTGTAAAATGAAAAAAGTTTTAACAATTTTTCACACTTCGATCTCATTTCCGCTCGTCAGTTCTCATTTTTAGACTTTTATGTCATCACACTTTCTTGCCCCACACCAAAGTTTCACTTTTCTTGCCTACAAAAGAATTGTTATGCGACCATTTTTTTGTGCATGAGGGAAATAAAGCTCTTTCCAGGAAATAGATAAGCCATCTAAATATGCACTCATATATGAAACTTTTCTCATTTTATTGAACAAAAAATTAAAAAAACAACAATTTATCAGGAAAATCAAGAATTAATACTGTTCGGTCACTTGTTTTGATTTCGCATCTGCTGCAATTCGGTCCAAATCCTTGCGTCCCTAAAGCAAAAAAACTCCACTTTATCAAATTCCAAGTCCTTTCACCCTCAATCAAAAGAACTTAGTTTCAACCTAAAAGGCAGAGTTTTTCGCTATTATTCACGTTAATTTGATACCTGCTTTGAAATAATACGTCCTTTTCCTTCCGGGCCCTTCTCCACCCATTTAAGATGTTCCAAAGTCTGAAGGGCTCTTCGGCAGACGGAGCCGCATCCGGCAATCCAGTGATTTGGTCGAACGCCGCGTCTAAGCTTGCCTCCGTAGATCTTTCGAAGGCCGCCGACACCTAAAACAAAACATATTAAAAAGATGTACAGAGTGAATCCTCTTTAAAGAAACCCAAAGTTGGGTTTATTCAAATTCAATTAGTTTGCATAACCATTTTGCCGTTTTCTCAAAAAACAGCATCGCTTTTTAGTTTTATAGTAAATAGCAAACGTTTACTCTCATCTTTCACTTTCAACAAAGAAGTTGCCCGTAGTACGCAAACTGTATGCAACTAACTAGGGATTGTTGTCAAGTCAAGATCGAGTCTTCACGTGAGACCTGGTTCATCGGGGATTCTGAATCAGCTGTTATTTTTCCGCAACGTTTCTGTAACACGAGATAATTGGCATACAAATTTGGTCTTTTTTGGCTGGTTTACAATCTTTTCTCAATATTCCCTAACTGTGCTCTGATGACCTAGTGGTTAGTGTGACGCGAAACTTTTTGCCCCTGGTTCGAATCTCTTCACTTTTTTGTTTTGTTTAATTACCAAAAACTATTTTTTAGGTTATTAAACCCGTTTACTACAAAAATTAACTGCGAAATGCCTCATCAAGAGTAGATAAAAAATACCGTTCCAAATCTTGGGAAAGCTTCATGTATAAAAGATAGAGTTTGATAACCTAAACCATAGTAAAGAAGCAAAGCATAGATAAGAAAGCAAAATATAAATTTTCTTTGCAATTTGATTTTTAAAATTTCTAACAGTTAGTCTCACCGAAAGAAACTCACAAAATTTTCTTGAAAATGCAAAAGAAAATTTGTATGAAATCTCAAGATTCAGCAGTTATCAACTTAGAGAATTATCAATTAATAAAGAATTATCAAGTTTTTCTTTACATTTTTCAGTTAATCCTTGTAGTAAACTTATTCCAAAGCTTAAAAAATTGTTTTGGTAATCAAGCAGAAGCGTGGGCAGTGAAAGGTTTCGAAACGGAGCCAGCCGTAGTAAACCAGCCGAAAAAGGCCAAATCTCGCACGTCATAGCAACGTTCCGGAAAAACTACCAGCAGTTTCAGAATCTCCGATGAAAACTATCCGACGGGCCAGGGCTCATGCCAAAACTCGAGCTTGATTTGACAAAATCCCCTAGTAAGCAAAACTAGCTAGCTAACTGAGCAGTTTCAGCAAAAGCAAACCAATACCTGTGGGGCGTGAATAGAGTCTTCGAGCGATGGCGGCACATCGGATGTAATACCAATCGGGGTCGATGGGAGCCAACTCCTTGGACTGCCCTAGTTTGACGAGATCTGCGCACTCGGGCAGCTTCACTTTGCCGGATTTCTTCAGGAAGTGGGCGATGTATTTCACGACTTCGGCGCTGTCCACGTCTTTGGCACTTGTCGCAACCATTTTCCTGTAAAAAGAAAATTAATAAGAGATTTAAATCGTGAAAACAGTAAACACGCACAAAATTATAGAAAACGCCGAGCAAGTGACAAATGAAAATATTTTTCAGACGGAAAAGCAAAAGCGCGTGTTTTAGGGTGAAGCTTGACCAAAATACGGTAGCGTTTCCAAATTTGCGTCAAAACTTAAATATAAGGTTCGCCAAGCTGCTTTTAGCCAAGAATTGCGGGTTTGAACGAGGTGGTCGACGGAAGGCCGTCGTCAAGCACAACAAGAACGATGGGAAAATCCAAGCCGAACATCAAGGACCCCCGCAAGTACCGGCTAATGTCCTCGAGGCCATTATGATGTTTTGATCGATGAAGAAGCAATCGAATGTGCAAACTAACTACGGATGTTAAATACATCATTATTTCACCGTCCTGTTTCCAGAAATATAAGGTTCTTTTGAAAACAAATTTTTTTTGTTAAACGTTCTCTTCTGTGAGTAATGTGGTGACGGAGTACAATTGATTTGGCGGTTGATATTTGATGTTTTCTTTTTCGGAACTTTGAAAACATTTCCTTATCCTCTTGAAAGAGGCGTCATTTGTACGGTGGTGAAATTGAAAATAAAAAGACTTATCAAAGAAATTTCATAACTTTGGTTCTGACCTTTGTTTATTCCGTTTATCGTTTTATTAAAATGCCATTTTCACCTTTTCCCATTTTTCGAACAATTTTTTCAAGTTTTCTGTGAAGTAGCAATTGTTTTAACTTAGGTGATGACGTCCACATCGTTGAATATTGGTTCTGCTGTTGCGCACGATGTGCAGGTGACTTTTTCCAAAACGCACTATCTCGAAATCATTATTTTTGTTACCAATTTTAGCTGCAAAACTTTTTGAACGCATAAGTTAAAGACACGTTTTAGTCGCTTTAAAGATGTTTCTCAAAAATCTCGCTAAAGTTGCGACTGTAAATTTGGCACGAGGACGCTCAACAAGCCGCTTAGCTAAAATCAAAGTACTTTTTTTGCAATTAAGCCATAAAATTACTAACCTTATTTGTTTTGTTATTAATCACAAAGTTTAGGGAATGGAGAAACTGAAAGATGTGTATTGCGATCTCGCCCAAATTCCTATCCCTACGCAAGGACGCATTTTGAAGAGGGACTCTGGAGTTGTGGAAGTTTGTTTTTGTTTTAGTAATAGGCATGCAAGTAGAGCATACCTTTGTAGTAAATTTCTACATATGAAATTTATAAAGCTACCTCTTTAGGTTGCGTCTGTATGGTCGAATCGGGCTCTTGCAATGAAGAAGGTTTCGCGTTCTCAACGAATTTCGGTCCTCAATGAGACGGAGATTGGTTTCGACATCGTCACTTCAACAGCTGTTCCTCTGGCTTCTATTGAGTAAGTATTCCGGCAATTTATCTGTTTTTTACAAGGCCTAGATCATCTTACCGGTAGTTGATTTATAAGTTTAGGGCACAAACCGCTGCCTATTCGCCTTCAAATCAAAAAGTTGCTCAACTTTTCACGGTGCAAGAGAATTCTGATAAGAAGTATTACTTAAACGTAAGCTTGTACCATTAGATTATGAATTAATTACTGTATCCTTAGGTCTTCGATCAACGCGAACACGTAGAATTGCTTTCTGCAGATTTGAGTGCACAAAAGAAACATGGAACAGTTTATGGATTGGGATCAGGTATATTTTTACTATTAAATCATAAATTAAGTAGCATAATCTAGACATTTTTATTTAGAACCCTTTGGCACTCTAAGCTTTTCGGTTGGAGAAGGACATGTACTCTATGCGGCCGAGCAAGTTTTCAAAGCGAGCCAGTTCTTTGATGGCGATATTGAATGGGACAACGAGGAGAAAGTGATCGAAGCAAAATTGGTTGCCTAAAGAGTGTTATTGTTCAACAGTTATTATTTTTAGGGCAGCAAGTACGAACTCATAGAATCGTGGGGAGAAGGATGTTTCGATGTGATACGACCTCAGCTCTGCATTTGCGATATCACTACGGGATTGGTGACCGTACTTGATCAAGTGCCCAAAAATATCTCCCCATCATTTGTAAGTTTTACATGCCTTGCTGATACCGTTTTGTTTAGGCAATTTGGACACCGAATGACACAGGAATTCTTTTCTTTGGCATTGAAGACAAGCCATTCCGCCTGGGGAGAATTTTCTGCAATAATCGACGGTTTTTATTTTGCTTTTCTCATTAGCACTCAAGTTTAGTGGCTCGTTGTATTACTATGATCTGGAGTCGGCAAATTTGAAAGTAATCGGACAACCAGGTATGATTTTTGTCAATATATAGCCGAAATCAAATTTTAGGTGTCGCTATTGAACACCCGACTTTCTCTCCGGATGGAACAACTCTTGTCTTTTGGCAAAGAGAGGCCGATGGACCGCATCAAGCAGCGATGAAAATGGTCAAGGTAGTTTTACCTATCAAGATGACATTCACTGCCTTATTCAGGTTCCCTGGCCCTATGATGGAAGCGATCCGGAGGAGATTGTTGGCATTGTTAATGAGGCGAGCATTCAAGACAACGAATTTCCCGGACTCTTCTTGATTCAGAAAACACAAAAGCCAGTTTTTCAAAGTAATTAGGCAGTCAAAAAACTGTGATTAATAAAGCTCAATAATCGAATTTAGATAACAAATCATTTTTCTAATATAGGAAATTGCAAAACATGAACTTTTAATTTTTAGCCCCTGGTGTGAAGATGGTCGTCGAATCGTTTTTGGTAGTGCATGGCATAGCAAGACAGAGATTCTCATCGTTGATGTTGTGGAGAAGAAGCTGACAAGGCTGACAAATCTTGGTATAGTGTTAAAATGTACGTCTCATATAATTTGTTTTAGGAGAGCAAATTCACGGGTCTTGGTCACTACTCGATACGAGATCAGACTTGGTGCTCGCTGTTGCTTCAGCTCCGAATAGACCATATACGACACTTCTCGGCAAGATTCCGCCAAGCGGCTCGGAAAATCAGGTCAGGTTTTGTTTTTTCTTAATCTTATAGTATAATTATCTAGACCAGTGGAATTGTATCTTTGTTCGTGGTGATAGGTGTCCGTTGTATTCAATTAAATCAAGTAATTGCCTTTTTCTAGATGACTTGGACTCGCGTCGACGGAATTTCGCCAAGTAACGATTTGCGACGATCGGTGGCCGATGTTTCATGGAAACTAATCGAGTTTCAGCGAGAAGGCAAATCTTTGAGACCTGACAATAATTTGAGTCTTTTAGGTCACACTCCGTATCAAGGCATTTTGGTGACGCCAAATGAGGGAACAACTCTTCCATTGGTCGTCTTTCCGCATGGTGGACCACATGGATGCAGTATGGCTATGTGGGGTTTTATTCCTCGCATATATAAATCATAATCCTGAATGCTAACTCTTAACCTTTTGCAGGTGGCCTCGACGGGACGTAGGATTGCTTTTGAACTCTGGCTTTGCTGTGCTACAGGTTGGCATCATTTGAGCAAGTTACGTGAATCCCTAAGTTTAGGTCAACTATCATGGCTCGATTGGATTTGGTGACAAATTTGTGCGATCGCTTCCGGGTCAGTGTGGCGATTTGGAAATCAAGGATGTACAGGTGTGTTTCTTTTTCTACAAAAACAACGAGTGATATATTTTAGCATGCTGCTGAGACAGTGCTCAAGACAGAGAAGCGGTTGGATTCGAGTCGTGTTGTAGCTTTTGGAGGTAGCCATGGAGGATTCACAGTTTCGCACTTGATTGGACAATATCCGGTAGTTTGTTATGATTTTTAATTAACTTCACCTTTTAGAAGTTCTACAAGGCTTGCTGTGCGTTGAATCCCGTGCTGAACATTGCTTCCATGTACGACACAACGGATATCACAGATTGGTGAGTGGTGTTTAATCTGATACTTTTTTCTGTCAAATTTTAAGTTTATCGTGTTCTGAGTTAATTTGCATTTTTTTCAGGACATGGTATGAGGGAACAGGAAACGAGCCAAGATGGCAAAGTTTGCCAACTGCCGAAGAACGCGATCAAATGCACAGATGCTCACCGATTCAGCACGTAGAAAAGGTAGAGTTGCATTTTTTTATTCTTCTAGACCATATAATTTTAAAGATTGCTCGAATTTTTAGGTGACGACACCATATCTGTTGCTGATTGGCGAGAAAGATCTGCGAGTAGTGCCACACTATCGCGGATATGTTCGAAATTTGCAGGCACGTGGTGTTCCTTGCAAGTAAGTATTCAGCTTTATTTTTGTTTAAAAATTTTAGACATCAAAGTTTTGCTAAGTAAACTAGCCACAAAACAAATTTGATTTGTTTCGTACAGGGTTCTCACTTACCCACCATCGAAACATCAACTGGAGGAAGTCGAAGTGGAGGCCGATTTCGCGATCAACATGGTGCGCTGGTTCGAAAAGTATCTTTAGAAGTATGCATTGATTTCTGTGATTATATTGCTCTTTTTTTGTGATGTTTCTCCGGTTAATTGTTTAGTGATTATTGATCTGTTTTATGGCATGGATGATTGATTTGACTTAATTTTTTTCTGTAATCGATAAATTGTATGCATATTGAAAAATTTAGCAAATAAAGAAAAGTAATTAAAAGGGTCTGTCAAAATTAAAAAGGTGGAAATGGCGAGCGTATCTCATTGAATAAATTGATCACATTGGTAATACATTTATCAAAACGTCTAGGGATGGGTACTGTAAGTATTACTGCGAGGATTCCGTTTCACTACACATTCCGGAATAGAAAGTGTTCTAACATTTAGATTTTACAATTATTCAATTGAAGAATCTGAAAGATGTTAGCATTGTTGATTAGATACCATTTTTTTTTGGCATATTGTAATGAATAGAGTTTGTGAACCCGTTAATTAAAGGATTTTTAGAAAAAATGCTTACACGTTCTTCTAGAGTTTGTTCATTGTAGAAAAGCGTTTACGAAAAGTTGAACAATTTGGAAAAGTACCGTAATCTCGTTTTCATAGTCGTAGTCAGTCATAGATTTGATGAGTTGAATGAGATCAAAATCAAATTAAACGGATCCAATAGAGGATTACGGTAGGTTTCTAATTGCCCACCTTTTAGAAATCGATTAGAAAACCTTTTACCCACTCATTCATACCGTCTTTTTCTCTCTTACACATTTTAAACTAGAGTTAAAAACTTTAGTCCCATAAAATCGGGATCACACGTTTAGGATTTGAGCACAAAGAAATCCTTTCTTTAGAAAGCTTTCAACGAAAAAACCCTGAGCGATAATCGTGGTGGTGAATGGTGGAGATGGAGTGGAGATAATGGGGCTCACCCCTTTCTGGTATCTCCTCCCCCATCCACTCAGCAGTCCAGCAATACCTACAAATTGCTCCCATACTAGATCCAGCTTCTTTTTTGAGTTAACCACATTGCAATTATGACGTCTTAATACAGCTCCTTACTCCTTATTTTACATTTTACTCCTTATTGATAGAGCTTAAAGTTTCGGAATCAAAAACTCTGAGTGCTTTTTCTGTGATTGCTTTTCTTAGGAGCTGAGAGTGAGATTTGCTGGCTTGAAGCTGGCTTGCTGGCCCTATTTCGATTGAAATTTGTTTTAATTCGTTTCAATTAGCAAAAAGACTTAGATTTGCAGCAATTCACTTCTGAAATGAATGCATAAAGTGGTTTTTGATGAGTAAAAAAGCTTTATAGTATTGTAAAAGTTGAATTTAACGATTAGCCGATTTATTTGAAGCCGAGGTTAGCCGATTTATTTGAAAAAATAACCAATTCATCGATTGACCTACGGTTTACTTCATTAGAAACCTTCGGTTTACTTCATTACTTCATTTACTATACTTCATTACTTCATTTACTATACTTCATTACTTCATTACTTCATTAATAGTTAATGTACAATAAATGTTATTCACAAGGGAAGATCAATCAAGTGTGGGAAGACAATCGAGTGTGTCCCAATCGAGTGTGGTGGTGAAATGACATCGGCTATAGATCATTCGATGCAGAATTTCACCCTGATTCCGAATTTGCTTTCCGTTTTTGGAATACAGCACCCTGTCATTTCACCAGATCAATTACCTCTAGAAAAAAGAAAACAAAGTTAAACTGCGGCTTGAACCCGAGCCTTGAACCCGAGCCCTCGTATTCTAGTCGACTACCACTCGACCACTGCTGCTTTCCCTCGGTCACTGCTGCTTTCCAAACTCTTCGGGAAAACTGCTTGTAAACTCGAGGGATGATTTTCTATTTTCTGCCTATTTTCCTATTTTCCTATTTTCCTATTTTCTGCGATTCCATACAAAACTTTGCACGCGTAAAACTTTTGACAGAGTGCTCGATAGCAGAAATGAAAAGCAGATTCGGAATCAGCGTAAAATTCTGCGTCGAATGATCTATAGCTGGATGTCATTTGGGCAACTTATCCAGTTGACCATGCCTTGTCAGTTAAAAATTTGTCTTGCTCTTGCTTTGCTTTTGCTCTTGTCCACCTTACAATCAGAAATTTATCTCTTGTTGCGGCAATTATGGCTCACCCTTTATAGTAGATTATTTAATTTCCATTTCATTTCATTTTATTGAGACTAGGGAAGTCTACGCAAAAAATTGAGTCCAAAGCCTCTCGCTTTGGACTTCCATTTCGCTTTGGAATCATTTAGCTTTGGACTTCCATTTCGCTTTGGAATCCAACTCGAAAAAAAACCCATCACCCAGCCATTTCTCAACGAACCAAAAGCAAAACCCCCAATGAATGGCTGTTTTTTGGTCTAAATAGCTGAAAAGATTGGTGTTTTGTAGATTCTTCTTAGCCAATTATCCTCCTGGCTTGGTTGTTAATTGGTAGTTTCGTGGATCCGGGCCCTAGAGCTCATCTTACAGAAGGCTTACATTGGACTGGTCCCAGCTAGTTTTAGCTTGAAAACTTGAGCTTACCCAGTGCTTGGCTGACTTGTCCAGTGCTTAACTGTCTTACCCTCCTCCTCGGCAATTTTGAATCCAACTCGAAAAATAACCCATCACCCAGCCATTTCTCAACGAACCCAAAAGCAAAACCCCCAATGAATGGCTGTTTTTTTGGTCTAAATAGCTGAAAAGATTGGTGTTTTGTAGATTCTTCTTAGCCAATTATCCTCCTCGGGGCAATCTCGGGGCCCATTCGTCAGTATCCCATTTCCCATCGCGCAGATACATCGGCTCTGAATGGATCTCTTTCTCCTCTTTTTTGGCTCTCGCCCACCTTTGCCAAATTTTCTGCCAATAGATCTCTATCTTTTCTTTTTTTTTTCTGGGGCTATTCCGAGGCACACATACGATGAATTATATAAGAAGAAAGCTCATCAAGAACCCCGGCTTTGGGGGTTTTCCCAAAGGTTTTTGACTGGAGTCGGGCATTTTTTTTTTCAATTCCAATCTTGTTTTGGGTGTTATGTTGATAGTTTTTCAAATCAATGAGGCTTAAAGTTTCTTGAGAATTGTTTAATGGAAAGGTTTGAGCTTCAAAAGCTAGAGTTTATTCAAATGAAAGCTATACTTTTGAAGAAGTTGCCATTTCCAGTAAACGTGAAAATTTCAATCTTGTATTTGAGGTTGTACTATTGAACTTTTCTATTGTACTATTGTACTTTCTATTGTACTATTGTACCTTCTATTGCACTATTGTACCTTCTATTGTACTATTGTACCTTCTATTGTACTATTGTACTTTCTATTGTACTATTGTACCTTCTATTGCACTATTGTACCTTCTATTGTACTTGTACTCTCTGTCATTGTACCTTCTATTGCATATTGTACTTTCTATTGTACTATTATACTTTCTATTGTACTATTGTACCTTCTATTGTACTATTGTACCTTCTATTGTACTATTGTATCCCTGAAAAAGACACTTTTCTAAAATGTAAGAAAACTAAATAACTAAATAACTAGATAACTAGATAACTAGTTAACTAGATAACTAGATAACTAAATAACTAAATAACTAAATAACTAGATACATTCTTGAAAAAGCTTTATTTTTTCAAGGTTTTAAAGCTCAGATCTCTTATTTGGAGCTCAATTTATGCTCAGATCATAAAATTTTCCTTTCGAAGCAAAGTCAATTCAGTCAATCGATTCAAATATTAAGATTGGCAAGCGTTCTTAATAATTCCTAAAGAATGCTGCTGTAGCTAGGCTAGATTTGCGTGCGTTCAATCTTTTGACGGAGTGGCCTAAATTAGCAATAAATACTGATGATGATTTTGACGCTTGACTAGCTGAACGAGGACTTTTCTGGGGAGATCAACGCAATTTTCCCAACACTGACATGAAGCTAAAAGTATATGCTAACGGCAACGATTATTGTTTCTTCTTCTCATCTACCGTATTCTCTCTAATATTAGTGCACCTTGAGCGTCGCCTAAATTCCTCAAAATCTCGAGAACCGCTTATCTAGCTTATCTAGCTACCAGAACCTATCGATGTGGGGTCGGAAAATGTAGCTGACGATGAGATCTAGTGGGGGATTTGAGTGTTGAGCTTCTGGGAAGACTTGGAAACCGTAAAATAGTCATCAACTCGGCTCGACCAGGTGCACTACTATTAGAGAGAATACAGTAAGCGTACTGTACTTTTTGCTCTAAAAAATGGATTATGTTTCGAGTTTTTATAAGGAAAAAGCACAGTACGCCTAGCTATTCTTAAATCCTATCGAGAAAACGGTCATTTTCGAGTTTCTTAGTACCATTAAACAATTTCTAACTGAAATCCACCAATCAGTTTCTGTCTCTTTGTCTCTGTCCCTTTGTGAAGTCTTTTTTTTTCCATCCACTTATTAGTGATTCCCGTATTCTGCATTTTTCATCACTGCCCAACTAGAAAGTTGGGGAAATGACGAGACAGGGAATTAATGAAATCAATTTTTGTGCCACATTTTCAGCAAAAAACTCTGAGATCAATTAAATTTATTTCAATTCAATCGTTAAACGAATGACTATCGTGATTTTTTTTGAGCCTTTGAATTGAGGATTTTTGAGAGAAAACCGATAAGACGAGTTTTTTCTTCGTCATTCACCGGAAAATGATTCCCTCGAAAAATTTTGAACTTAACTTTAAACCTTTACAACTATTACTTTGAATTGCGCTCTGGCAAGCGATGAATGTACTTTGTGCTTTGCTTTGCTTTGCTGTAAAATCTAAACGCATTCTAGAAGATCTAGAAGATGGGGAGTCTAGATCTAGAAAGGGGAATCTAGATCTAGAAGATGGGGAATCTAGGAGATCTAGAAGATGGAGAATCTAGATCTAGAAGATGGGGAGTCTAGATCTAGAAGATGGAGAATCTAGATCTAGAAGATGGGGAATCTAGAAGGTCTAGAAGATGGGGATCTATTGGGTTGGGGAGAATGAGTCGGCGCCGAAAATCAAAAAAATGTCTAAAA